TGTAGTGCTTCTAAATCTTAAAAAAAAAAAAAAAAGAAAGAAAGAAAAATATAGTGAAAGGACATTTTCAGAGAAAAAAATTGTTAGGACCTACCTTTAAGAATGCCCGAGATTCCTTAAGATAAGTGAATGAAATGCCATAAAATCCTGAGACACTACCTTAGAGGACTGACTAGTCTCTGGAATGCCTTTTGCCCCAGTGAAAAACACCAGCTAGCCCCCAGCTGTTAGCTATTCTCAGACAGGCTTAAGACCCAGACCCGCACACATGCTCAGGCTAAGGATCAGTCCCAGATTCTGTGACTCTGGGCAGGGGCCGGCCTCCCGGGCCTCCAGCAGCCCTGTGCCCTACAGAGGCTCCTGCTTCCCAGGAGTGCAAAATTTGGGACAGGCTACCACTGCGCAGCATGTGCCCCCACAAAAGCACACAGCAGGCCTACCACACAAAGGCCAGACATGGCCCCTGAAAGGCTCCTGCGGTGATCACAGGAGAACTGGGGACGTCCCCACTAACCCCACTCAATTATTCCAGCAGTTAAGAGCCAAAAATACCTCTGCAAAGGAGGGAAAAATAAAAGGAACACAGAAGAGAGGGAGGGTCCCAACCTCTCAGTGTGGAGGAACCCACTTTATTTTCTTCAAGTTTTTAGATGGGGAAGGGGACAAGACGGGCTGGGGCTGGAGAGGCCTGCAGGTACAAGCAGGAAACAGGAAGCTGGAGCCTCATGATCTACAAGTGCCAAGGCTCCCAGGCCAGCCAGGCTGGGTCCCTGCTGTGACTACCCAATGTTTGTACACATTGTTCTTACGGCCAACACTGGACATGCAGGAGGAGTTGCAGCTAGAAACTGGAGCAGGACGAGTCATCTTGAAGGAAGGACCCACGGTTACCAGAAAAACAAAGAGGCCAGGAGTCTCCTTTTCCACAGGCCCCTATCCCAGACCTGCAGTGGACACCTGAGACCTGGGATGGCACCCAGCCCCATGGGAACCTTGCTGTGCCCCCTCCACAAGTGTGGGAAATGTTCCTCTTTTCACCTAAAGGAAGCACCCAACAGCCTGTCTTGGGCCTGCCCCAGTCGCAGATGACTCTGGCACTGGGACCTGCCTGGAGCCCAGTGCGCCCCACTGTGGTGCCCTGGCTGAGTGGGTGGGTGGCACACTACTTGGACACATGGGACAGAGGTACGGGCCCCAGGTTGGCACTACTCAGAATGATGATATGCAGTTTAAAATTCCACTTCTGGAATTTTCCACTGAGTATTTTCAGAATGAACCTGACTTCACTGAGTAATCGAAACCAAGGAAAGTGAAAGCAAGGATGGGGAACCACCGGGCTAACGTCTCTAAGACCCAGATGCACCCGGCAGGTCAGGTCAGGGTGACACACCTGGCGGCAGAGCGCAGCTTGGGCACAAGCACCATGATTTAAGGGGTCCAGACTCAAGCCACTAGTTATGTTATGTAATAAAACCTCCCCAGCGAGGCCCACACTGGGGCAATCCAGAGAGGCCCGGCAGAAGCAGTTTGTAGAACCTGCCCTCTCCCCTCTCCCACCTTCACTTCCTTTGTCTCTTCATCCCCCACCACCGCCTTTCCTCTTGTGTAAATCCAGAGGTTTTCTTAAAGTCTGAGGGCCATGGCTTAGACTGGCCTCTGTTTTTATAAGGCCTGGAAAATGATTAACCCATTCACTCTTTCCTAAAAACACTTCTTTACAAGAAAAAGAAAAGTCAGAGTGCTGCTAAAAGTCGCAGAGTTTATTTCAAAGAGCACTCATTCATTTTCTGGGTGCAGTCCTTCTGGGCAGGACAAACCCCCAAACCACGCCAGCGAACACACAACCACAGGCAGCACAGCCCACCTGGAGCAGGGAGCACCGCCAGGCCTGGGGCGGGGCCGGGGCCTGGGGCGGGGCCAGACCCGGGGCGGGGCCTGGGAGGGGCCGGGCCGGCCGCTGCTCAACTCGGGAAGGATCCCGCAAGCCGCGGCCACCAGGGACCAGTTGAAGCGGCCGGCTCGGGGCCAGCTGCGCCAGGGAGGAGCTGGCTCCGGAGGTCTTCCAGTGCAGCGATGCGGCGGCCAATGGGGAAGCGCGAGGCGAAGACGCACCAAATTAGGAAAGTGCTGGAGCGGTGGCGCGCCCCGCCCGCGGGACCTGGCGGGAGAGCGCGGGCAGGGCATGTTTGTAAACACGCCGGCTCCGCCCCCACAAAGAAACTCAAACTGAAAAGCGCCCTGGCAAGCCAACCCCAAAGCCTGAGGTTTCTGAACTCTCAAGTGAATTTCAAAGCGCTAAGATAAACGGGTGTCAACAAAGGTCTTCTTGAAACACTAAAGGTCCAGACACAGAGCAGAACCCAAGTCCCTAGTCTCACCCGGCGCCCAGGAACCCAGTCCCACACACCTGATGGGAACCCTGGGGGCAGGGACAGGGGCCACTGACCCTTCCAGCTCCAACAGGAAGAGCAGGTTACACACAAACCCAGAGCTGCTACGACCTGGGACTCAGAAGCTGCAGTCAACCAGAGCTTCCCTGAGCCCATCACCACCGGCTCCAGAGAGACGACTCCACACCTGAGCCTTCACTCAACCTTCACCAGCTGGAAGCTATTTTTATTTGGGAAATAATTTTAGTAAGTCTGCTATGTACAAACCCACACATTTCTCTTTCTGAAACAGCTTCTGTTCAGCTGGATTATAAACTGTTGACTAATAGCCCACACCAGTCCCAGGAGGAGGAGTGAGCCCACCCCTCAGGGGTCCCTAAGTGGCCGCATGGTCTGGCTTCCTGTGGACAGGGAAGGCCTTTGCTGCCTGCAGAAGGCAATAGACACAGGCAGAATCAGCAGGTCTGAGCACCTGGAGGCAGGAGGAATGGTCTTGGCTTCCACTCCACCAGCTGATTTAAGGTGATACTGGATCAAGATTTAATTCCACGTGTGGTTCCCAACAGCTCTGTTGAGATGCATGTCAACACCACACACTTTGCCCACTGAGTGTACAATACAGTGGTTTCAGGGACTGACCACGCCACTGTCTGATTCCTAAACATGGTCCTGTCCCACCCCTGGTGGACACCCCTCCCTTCACCCTGACCAGGCATCCACTGGCCCATGTCCTGCCTCTGCCCATGGCGTGTCCTGACCCCTTCGACCAGTAAGAGTACCTCAGGTCTCTGCTTGGCCATGTAATTGCCTATTGTAGGGACAGGTCACACGTCTGCAGTGTCTACACTTTGGGGTCATCTTGAATAGTGCTGCTGTGAACACAAGCTGAGTCACTGCATGGACGTGACAGTGCACTACTGAGTCACCTTTTTGGGAACTGCCAAACTCTCCACAGAGGCTGCCTGGGGTCTCAAGCTATAATTTTTTACCCGCATGGGAACTACACACACAAGTGAATGTGATAGCATGGTCACGAAACGACACTTGACAGCGAGCCCTGGGCTGACTGTCGGGACTGCACACAAGCCAGGTGACTGAAGGGACAAAGGAGGTCACATGCAGAGTTCAGGGGCTGGAACAGACCACTCCAGAAATCTGAAATGGGGTTAAGAAAACACCAATCTCTTGTTAAGTTCCAAGGACTAAGTCCTAATGCACAAGCATCGAACGTCCTTGTGTCAGGCAATTGTCACTTACCATCACCGACACCACAGAGAACTATTAGGGCTGGCTTTACAGATGGGGATATGCCTGAAGGTGCACAACCACTAACAGCATGGCTGGGATCACACTCAGATCCCAGACTTGAACTCTGTGGTGGCCGCCTCCAGGGCCACCCCAAAGAGACTACCCCGTGCTGACTCTGGAAACAGGACAACTCCCATCAACTCCAACACAAGTGACTGGCCTCTGAAAAGAATTCCAAGGTAGAAACTCAGGAAGAATCAGGCGCCCACGATGGAGTAACTGCTGGGGAATCCTGCCCCCAGCGACTGCAGACAGAGGACAACGTGGGGTTCTTGCACAGGCCTCGAGAGGTGCAGCGTGCAGCCCAGAGGGACTGCCGAGTGAGGCTGGCCGGCAGGACGGGGGTGCCGGGTCTGGGGGTTGGCACTGGCTGTCTCTGCAGAGTGGGTTTCGGCATGTGGTTCACAGCATCAACACCCAGTCACACCACTTCCAAACAATACCGGACACTGTCAGCGCCCCTGAGGGGCCACCTCTGCTGCCAATGCAGAAGAGAGGAAGCTGTGGGACTGGCGGGAACCACGGCCACCGCACCCCACTGCACATGCGCTGCACCTTCAGGCCCACGCCTGCGCAGCTGCGAGGGGAAGCCGCTGCATTTAAGGAGGCTGGTGATGGCACACCAAGACCTTTTAAAACTTACTAATCCTGGCCCTCAAGACCACATCTTTGTAGCGTCCTGAATGAGGGGACAGGAGCACATGGAAGGGCCTGGGCTGGGTGCGAAGGCTGAAGGCTGTCTCCAGAAGCACTTGTGTGACTGAGGTGGGGCGACAATGGGAGCTCATATACAAGGGTGCCCCAGAACCTGTCCCCAGGGCTTTACCTCTGTATCATATAATCTAACAACAATTAGTTAATTTCAATCACTTCACAAAAAATTTCCACGAATGCAGTTTAGAAAAACAAAATTCCTCAATTCCTGGTAAGCAAATATTACTTTAGAATGTTTTCAAAGTGATATTGGCCAAATTGCATTGCCGTATTGTGTGTGTGTGTATACAGATATGTACCAACAAACCCCATCGTGATGTAGAATTAATGCACCAAAAACAAATGTGGAAAGAAAATGTGTAAAAAAGAAAAATGTGGAAAGAAAATGTGTAAAAGAAAACAAAAACGTTTTCAATGTTGCTTTGTCTCCCTGCGCTTGCCCCCACAGAGCCTGGCAAGGCAGCGTCAGTCAAGCTGGATGACAGGCGAGCTGGCAGAGACCTCTCCTTGCAGGAGCACTGACAGAGACCCCACCAAGTAGTCACCCGGCCCGCTGCCCATGCCGTTTTGGCAAGGAGTTCCACTTACCTGATGGTGCCGGTTGGGGAAGGGATGGGGCTGACCAGGCTTCGGAGATCCGGCTCCGGAATGTGGATCTTCAGCGGGGAGATCTGAGGGTAGAGTGGCCGGAGGGGAGACGCTGGAGCCTCCTCTTTATGGTACAGAGAAGTGAACTGGATCTTGATGGCTGTGCTGGGGAATCGGAACGTGCACCTGCAACAGGAGGAGAGCAGTGGATCAGGCTCAGGGCCCAGGAAGGAAGCCCTGTCCCAAAGGGGCCAGTCTAGGTCATCGCTGGCCGTAGCCTGCAGTCTACTCTGTGCCTAGGGTGGCACATTCATGCTTTCCTTAGCACACTTTGGAATATAAATGTGGGCTCTTGCTGACATCAGCTCTGTGCGTGAACACAAGAGAGAGAAACCCCAAACACCATGATGCCACAGCTCTTGGGGCTTCCACACAGGCCCAGCCCCTTTACATCCACCAGGCAGCTGCCAGGTGGGGTTCCTTCCCTACCACATGTGGAAAATAACTCAAAGGACGTGACATTTTGTAGAGATTTTATGGATATGATTCCCTGGGGCCACTGGGACGTATAAAACAAGTGTCTTGGGACGGAATAAGAGGTTCACCCTGTGCACACCTGGACTCTCTAGGAGTGAGACTCGGGGGCCCGGAGTTCACAGGGGCTCCGGCTGTCTCACCACCAGCTCTGGGTGGGAACCTGCGGCCCTGGTTTTCCTATAGGACATGGCCACGTGCAAACAAATCCAATCCTGGAGCCCAGGGAGGTGCTCCCAACACCCAAGACCACGCCCGCCCGTGTGCTCAGGTGAAGGCGTGAGTGACAATGCAAAGTTCACAGAACTCCTGCTTATCAAAGTCTGGGCACGTTTACSGAGCACACCTTCTGATTTCTGAACTGAGAAGTTACTAACCAACAACTTGCTGACTGGCATGCCAGTTTAAAAAATAATAATAATAAGGCAGACTGGCCGTGCAGGGACCGGCTATGCTGGCCCCTGGGACAACTCTCTAGAAGAGGGTCTTTGTTGAAAAGTGGATGGGAGGTGGGAAGCTGAGTATCACCCATCCTGCCTCCAGCACTTCGGGCACCCCACCACGACAACCGTGAGACCACGGGCGGGGAGATACCTGCCACCCCAGTGCGGCTCCCAGTCTGCTCCTGACCCTGGATTTTACTCTGGAGCAACAGGGAATCTGCCCCAAATCCCACTCAGATGCAGACCTGGGCAGGCGCCCTTCCATCCAAGATCCTCCTGCTCTTAGCAAACAGTGTTCTAAAAACAAGACTTAAGAGAATGGCGCTCCAGGAGTCCACCCCTGCCCAGGGCCCCGCGTGCTCCCCACACCTTCCCCAGGAGGCCGTCTTCCCACACCAACAGGTGATGGGAACTTCAAACACCAGGCCAGGCTGGACTGGCTCTGGCCAGGGGAACTGGAGAGGGGGCATCACCAGCAGCTGACTTCCCAGGGGTGCTGGGCAACAGGCCACCATGCTGATGTTCCCACATATAAAGCCCAAGGAAGGGGCTGCGGCTGCTATCTGGGGTGAGAAGCATGCCGGGAAGCACTGCCTGGGAGCCTGGTGCTAAGGACGGGAGGGCTCTGCCTGCAGGCAGTCTGCTGCCCCATCTGCTCCCAAGTCCAACCTAAGGCACTTGATGTCATTTCCACTTTTGTTAGATTCCCCAGAGTGGTTTCCTCCATCAGCACTTGGGCAGAAGGGACCACCAGCCCTTGTTCTCAGATGCCTCTGAAGCCTACGGGCTCACCATCCAGAGGCCCAACAGTGTTGGCTCTGGGGAGCCAACATCTGCTCACAGCCAAGTCTGAGGACAGACTACGTGTCCCCAAGTGCAGAAGGAAAAGACGCTGGAGTCAGGGGTCTGGCTGGGCCCCTGCCGATGAGCTGAGCAGATGAAGATGCAGCCCTCTGCGAATGACGGTGAAACGCTTGTCGTGTGTGCCGGTGACTTACTGATGCCAAGCGGAAAGGCATGGGACGGTTCCCATAGACCCTGACTATGTGCCTCCTTCTCGCATTCCATCCACTGTGGCAAAGCTGCCAAACCAACCACGGTCCCCATTTGTCAGCAGCAGGTCACAGTCCCATGCTTGAAGGTCCCTGAACTAACCAGGGACCCCCAGGAACATGGAGGCCAACTAGAAGGAGGATGTGGCTTCTGGCCCACGCCAAGGTCAGGGGCAGATAGGAATCTGTGAGAACGCAGCTTGGGGGTGAAGACCAGAGAGGGTCACGTCCCCAGAGGGGCTCTGGGCGGGGGGGGGGGGGGGCATCTGATTTCCAGGCCCCTCCCTCCACTTCTGGCCTTGAGTCTTACTGGGCAGGAACCAGGGACAGATGCTAGAAGTGGGGTGCGCTGCTCGCGCAGAGCTGGCCATAGGCGACTGCGACAGAACCGGTCCTGTCCTGTTTTTGTTTTGCTTTGCTTTTTAACCAACAGAACTAGAGGGTCTGGGGAGAAGAGCCCACCTCTAAGCACAGTTCCAGTTCAAAAGCTAAGGTTGTACCCAGCATGCACACAGACTTGGATCTTAGTAATGTGAGCTTTTCCAGGCCTGGGATGTTGGCAGGACACTAGTGGCCAAACCTCAGGCCGCCTGGAGCTGCTGGGTGCAGGACGACCCTTGTGGGGACCATGGCAGTGTTCCAGTGGAGCTAACAGCAGGCCTGTTCATGACATGGGCAGTCACAGCTACTTCAAATTCAGCTCCTGACTCACTCTTCCAAGACTGTCAGGGCAGGCAGTGACCTGGAGGGGCAGGAGGAGGGGCACAGGGCACGCTCCCCACCAAGTGCCCTCTGCTCCCTGCGGTCGCCCCGCTCTTCCCAGAGATGTTCTCATGGGTTCAGGGCCCGAGGCGAGTGCGGATGAGCTGCTTTGCAACTGAAGTCTCTTCTGGAAGGTGTCACAGTCTTGCTTAGCCACATGACTCCTGTCCTTCCCTGCTGGGGTCAGCCCACCCACTGAGGAAGGTTCCCACAAAGCAGGTGTCCCTGGAGGCCAGGGAGAGTGCTTCTTAAAACATCCTCACTGACTGTCCTCAAGGCTGGGAGCAGAGTGTGGCCAGCGTGCGGCCCGTGGGGGAACACCAGCTCAGCACTTGGCTGAAAACCTCCACCCTGGATGACGGAGGGGCGGGTGGGGAGGCAGGTGGATCCCGTCCAAGGGTTCCGACAAGAGGCCTGGCCTTGAAGCTGCTGCCAGCCTGTCTGCTCCAGCCGTGGCCCCTTGCCCATCCACTGGTGGCCAGCGGCTCCTGGACAGTGAGCAGACTAGAGCCGCCTTGGTGGGAGAAGACACTGCCGTCGCATTCTGCATGGGAGCTGTGGTGGGTCCTCGTCACAGCTCGACCACTGGGCCTCAGTGACATCGGGCAGGTCACTTCACTCTGGTCCTGGGAGTCGTCAGGAAAGTAAGAGGCACCCTCCTCGCTCTCACTGATCTAAGCAGAAACAGCTCACCTCATTTTAGACACAAAGAAGTAACAAGACGGCAGAGTGGAAGCTCCCGGGGAAGGTGTTAAGAGCACCAAGTGCCCCCTCCCCGGGCTCCTCTTCCTCCCAGTGGAGAGGTGCTGGCTCTCTGTGAAGCCTGGGCTGGGACTTGGACACAGGCAGCCGCAGGACCCCAGGCTCTGTAGAGAAAACAGGACTGACACACTCTGCAGGACCATGAGTCCCCACAGGCCCCCAGGAGCCATGGCTGATGACAGACTCGAATAAACCTCATGGAAAAGACAAGGAAATAAAGCAACCCTCGGCGGCTCCGTCCAGGAGGCAGAGCACGAAAATCAGACATTCCACGAGGCAGCCTCGAAGAATCCCACACCTGGGAGAAGGGCCCACCCACAGAGCTGTGGCCGAGGGGACAGCTGTCCCCATGTCCTTCTACTGCAGAGGGCTGGCCACCTCAAGTCTGGCTCGCAAGCACCATGTTTAAGGCAGGGCCACCCCCCGCTGTGGCCTGGAGGGAGCACTGGGCACTCGCTGAAGGCAGGCCACGTTCCCGCACTGGGTGACCCTTCCCCTGCAGCACCTGAGAGCAGACCCCAGAGACGGGATCTGTGCCTGAACCGTGCCCGGGGCACACGCAAGGGCAGTGCGCAGAGGTAAGTTTCCGCCTGGCCTGAGCTGTCCAGCAAGAGGACAGACTGACAGTAGGAGAAGGGGCTCCAAGTCTCGATCAGGTGGCAGCCACCAGCGACACTACTGAGCCAGACTACAACTAGGAGCAGGTGGGGGCTCCTGCCGTCCTGCCCAGGCCCACAGCTGCAGGCGGCCTCGTAGCAGCCTCCACCCACATGGGAAGACAGCGGGCCCCGCGCAGAGGTGAACTGCAGTGCAGCTCCCAAGAGTAAATCCTGTGGAATGCAGTCACTGTGGGCACTTGGCTGCCTCCTTTGACAGCGAGGGTGACGGTTTTTTTGCTTGTCTGAAAAGGCAAACTGTGACAGAGACTGCTGGCCTTGAAAATGTCGTCTCCTGCCTCCACAGTGAATGCTTTAGTCAGACACACATCCACCCAATAAAGACATTTCTCTGCCTCTCTAGTACCCACAAGATTATGTGCTGTCCAACAAGGTGCAAATGGGCTATGTGTGGCCTTGCAGGGAATGAAGTGTCTTCTCCATGTCTCCTCTTCCCAACAGGCAGACTGTGGGTGTGATGGCAGGAGGCGGAACAGCCACAATGGGTCAGAGTGGACAGTGGCTAATAGTGACACACTAGAAAGTGCCAGGTTATACACCATGTCAGTTCATATGAAGAGTATTATATGATAAGGAAAAACACTTCACCCCTGTCACAAAACCAAGCCTGTAACCTAACTTCAAAGAGTTCAGGAACACGACACAAAGCCCCAGGACAGGCGATGTGCAGAGGCCTCAAGAGAAACACCTACTTTTGCAGGGGAAGGTTTGCCTCAGTGCAGGAGAGTAACCTCTTCCAGCTTGGAAGAGGACCAGGGCTGTGGGGTGAACGGTCACCGGGAACTTAAAAATGGACGCATCATGCTGCCCAACTGCTAGGCAGGTTGCTGTCAGCATCTGGGGACAGATCTGCAGTGGGGACACGGAAGGCAAGCCAGCGGAGATCAGGAGGGAGGGAGAGGCGCACGGTGAAGGAGGGGACAGCACAGACCCTGGGCTCGGATGACCGTCGCCAA